ATTACTTGTGGATTATTGTGATGTTTTCATCAGCTGTTTGGATTCTTCTGACGGCACCCATTCACTGTAGAGGATCCACTGGTGAACAAGTCACGTAGTGCTCAATTTCTCCAAATCTGTTCTGATGAAGAGACAAACTCATCTACATCTTGGATGGCCTGAGGGTGAGTGCATTTTCAGCAAATTTTCACTTTTGGGTGAACTATTCCTTTAAGGAATAGTAAATTCGGTTATCATTTACTTGCCCTTTAGTAACAAACTATTTAAGATAAATGACATTTTTGGAACTTGACAACATCTGTCCCTATTGAGTTTCATTCTGCAAAAACGAGCACCCAGAACATTCTGTGAAACTACTCTTTTTGTGAATGTGAATTTTTATTTACCCTTTAACTAAAACCTGTTTTCCTTGGGTTTTCTGTTAGGGGGCTACGCTTTATCCAAGTTCTTCTCCAGAGTCTAGTGGATGGGGATAAAGATGAAAACAACCCTAACCTCATCAGAGTCAACGTCTCCAAAGCGTATGAAATGGCATTGAAGAAGTATCATGGCTGGTTTGTCCAGAAGCTCTTTAAAGTAAGTTTCTTAAAGGGGTCATATGATGCTTTTTTAAAGATCATTATTTTGTGTATTTGGTGTAACAGAATATGTTGACATGCTTTAATGTTCAAAAAACACATTACTTTTCAAATACTGTACATTATTGTAGGTCCTCTATGCCCCGCCTCTCTCAAACGCTTCGTTTTCATATTTTCACATAGTGAGGTAGATATGTGGGGGCGTGTTAGAACGAGCCGTTTTAGGGGGGCGTGGCAGAGTCTTAACTTTGATAAAGAATATCTCTTTGGTTTTGAGACTTTAGTCTTTGCAACTTCAGGGATCTTATCTATGCACAATCAGCTTGTAACACTCCAAAGAGAAAGGAAAACTTGAAAAGTTTGCATATGTGTATGTATGTATTCAGAAGTTGTCTTTATGCAAGTTAAAAATAGTTTTTCGTCGTCTGAAAGTAAAATGAGTGAAATGTAAACATTTCTGATGACTGCAAAAGTTTGGAAAAACCTATTGAGGTTGCCCTGACTTCATTTTTTCAGGCAGCACTATATGCCGCTCCATACAGATCAGATTTTCTCAAAGCTCTTTCTAAAGGGCGAGAGGTCAAGGAGGAAGAATGCTTGGACAAAGTGCGGCAGTTCCTAGTAAACTTCACAGCTACTATTGACGCCATCTATGAAATGTACACCAAGATGAATGCAGAGCTGGACTACACTGTGTGATCTCACATTCACACACTTTAGACCTCATCTACTGCTGTCCCACTGGATCACTGTTGCCTCCCTGTAGACACCTCCTTAGTCTCCTCATTGGACCGTTCTTCTCTCCTACTGGATCCTGCATCTCCAGCAGTATACTGTTGTGTTTTCTCTTGGGGGACAATTAGGGTCCAAGCTGCTGAAGGCTTTGGTGGTTTTGGAAGGGAGGATGTCTGTTTGTGTTTGTTCTGCTCGTGTTGACCATTTGAATGCTTTGGCTTTTCTTTAGAAAAGTAGTGTTCTTAAAAAAGACAGTTTGTGAGCGTTTTATAACTTTAACTACTAATCATTTCTGTTTGATACATGCACTTTAAGTATGTGTATGGAATGGTTCTGTATGTGTTATATACTGCAAATGAGGGTTTTCATTTGACTTTTTTAATTATACCAAAACAAACGTCTGCAGACTCTCTAACCAAATATCTGACATTGACTGTACTGCTGTTAGTTTTTACTTTGGATTCTATTTTATGAGAAAAAATTACTTGAATGTGACATAAAATATAAAGAAACCACTTCCTCAGAAGTGACTAAATGAAGCCACTATATTGAGTGGTGAAAGAGTAAATAGTAAAACGTCTATGATAATTTCTTAATAAAAATTTGTCTTTTAATAATTTATTTCTACAAGACTTCTTAAGACTCTTATTATATGGATGACTGTGAATCTTCATAGACGTAATTGGTCTGATGCTTTGTTTATGTAATGTAATGGATGAGTATTGTTGGTTTTAATTTGTCATTCCCAAAGGTTAATTTTATTCAAACTAACTGCTTTTTAGAAATAAATGTTAATTTATGGAAATGATTTGTTCTTTATTCCAGCTGCCTTGTGCTTCGTTTTATGACATTACAGACTTATTTCACTTTGCTTGGTCAGTAGGCAAACACTGATGAACCACATCTCAGTTCTGTCCCAGGTTAACCACTATGCAACAACACTAATGCATTTCATAGGACAACATACAGTGCATTCTGACGATGTTATTTTAACCAGTGGAGTTGACATCAATAAAAGCTCATTTATTTGAATGATTTTTGTCAGAGTGAATATCTCACTGGTGTAGAGGATGGACAAAACTGAAGCAGTACATCGTGATGACCCTGTGACTGATGCCTTCACGTGCTGTTTTGCTCTTCCACTGTCATTTTTTAAAATCTCATTGTGTCTTACAATGATCATAGTTATGTGTAGTCTCTTTAAAATATCATTCAAATCACGACCTTGTGTAAGTCAGGGTTTCTACAGACATGAACAAGTTAAATTGAAGACTTTTTAAGACCTTTTTAATACCACCTTATATGAAATTTAAGACCTAAACCTGTAATGGAAATACACATTTTATTACATACATATATGTAATTTTTAATTTGTTTAAATAAAAAAAGAAAAGAAAATAGCATTGCTGTAAATGATATTTATTACTACGATATACAGTGAACTTTTCACATCAGCAGACAATATTCCATACAAAACATCCCTGCAAAATAACTGCATCACTGAGATTTTTGGTGGAGTAAACAATTTATTCTGAAGCAATATTTTCATCAGTGTTCTATCAGATTTTACGTACTTAAATCTGCATATTTTTAACCTTTTTAGATGTATGCATCATCTTACATGTCAAATTATTACAATTTATCAATAAATTCAATATACACTATAGGGCTGCTACCAGACAGATTAAATACAGCAAATAACAATAATTACAACTGCAATAAATAATGTTATGAGATTAATGTTTTAAATGCATTTATGAATATACAAATAAGAAATGTTGAGGGGAAAGATGCATACTTTTCCACAAACTTCACAACTGAACTACCAGTAAGTGACGGTAAGTCACTTAATGAGTGAGTCATTGAATCATTCATTCAACTGATTGTGTTATCATGCATGCTGGTATCTTAAGGACTTTCGTGGACAGCTGACTCCTAAAGTTTTTGATATTCTTCATATTCTGTGTGGTGGTCAGATAGAAATTAATCTTTTCCAATAAGTTTAAATAGATTTTACCTTTTATGTTGATTAACTATATGAAGTGGTATAAATATACACATTTTCTGCCCTCATGTCTTGAATTTGTGATGATTCTGAATGTATTTTAATAGACTGAATCATGTCATAAAAGAGCGCACTGTAAATGCGCACGCGCACTAAGTAATTTTTTATTTTTTTATTTTTTATTAATAAACATTATTCAAATACAACTAGACTTCACGTAATGCGTGCACTCTGTAGGTGTTTTGAATGTTTTTTTGCGTCGTGAGAATATTGAGCAAAATAGCTCACTTGTCATGGTGTTACATAACTATATCATGTTATGAATAAACTAAACATTTTGAATTTTTTCCTCAGTTTGTTTCTTCTGAGTTTATGTGTGCTGTTACACTCATTTGTTCTGAAGTCTCTCACAAAACGACAGAGTGAGCCTTAACAGCGCGATCTTGATACCAGAAATATATCATCCATTATCAATCGCTGTTTACATTGAATGTAGGCTAATAAAAGTACAATCTAAGAGCTAATAATGTAAGTTGTTTTTGCTGTGTACTTTCCCTTTGGCTGCGCTAAAAAGGCCTTTATATTTTGTTCTGTTTTATTCCTCTAGTATAACCATACTTTTCCTCTATATGTAAATGCATATTAAGCCATCATATAACTGTGTGCTTAAAATCCAGATTTGAATTCGCAAATACATAACAAATAGCTACTTATAAATAAATAAAAGTCCAGTGGGACGAAAAAAATTTCGAATAAAAAAAAAAAAAGAGAAATACATTACAAATGCATTTTAAGCGTTAACCGACATTTGTTAAAGATGTTTAAAATATTCATACATATATAATACATTTAACACTACTTAGTAACAATATAGGCCTACACAATCTGAACTGAATTCAAAGAAGCGGGAAGTAAAAAGATATACTGTAAAGTATTTATTTTGATAATAGTGTTTAATCATTTATATTGTCTTACTCTTTATAATGTCACTAATACTGAAAACAAATGAGTTTTATGAGTTAGCCAATATTAGCCTATTATAAACGTGACAGTCTCTTAAGTTGCTTCTTCAGGAGAACACCAGAGGGCGCCGTTCCCAACATTTTGCATGTAAACACTCGACAACAAAAAACGTAGCCATGCAAATTAGCCAAACCGGTCATACCTGTTATGATGAAAGACCAATACAACATAATATGAATAATATTATATATTATAATATAATGGTATAATATGTTTTATGTTCTCAAGGCTTTAAAAGAAAGAAACGTACTTTCTGGTAATATTACAGTTAGAATGTGAGTAGTTTGCGAAGTAGACGGTGAATATTTAGTTTGTCTACAAGGCTTTCTAAGTAAAATGGCTCAAGTTCATAAGTTAGACTGTGAGGATTTTGTTTGGTTGCGCTTGAGACGTAAAATGATCCCTGTCTCTTACGTCTACGACTCTGAATGAAGAGTTCCAACACACCCCTAAGTTAACGATCATTTCTACAGGTTTCCATTCAGTGGGCGGTGGGAAATCAAAACGCTACTTCTGCACTCCTTCTGTCCCATTATTTGTATAAAACACCCAGGAGGAACGATGAAGCCGTTTCCAAAGTTTACCTAAAGAGCTATACGGATCCTTCCTGAAGAATAAATGGACGAATCTGACTTCATAAACGGAATAACTACTGTTTCTACGTCTAAGAAGAAACGTCTAGCAGTACATTTGTTTTTACAGGTGAGCAACTTTTCCAATCCATGACTTGTGATACAGTTTTATAACTGTGTTGTGGGAATGTTGGGAGATTTAAAATCCTCATGAAACACTTTAGAACAGTTTAAAAGAGTTTAGAACCATTTAGAATTGAAAAAGTAACAACTTCCTCTTGCCGCTATACCTGATTATTTCCTAGTCATATTGTTGTCTGTATCAACATAGAACCTGTTTGACATGCACAGATCTGTTAATCAAGCTTTTTGTTTTTTGCTTCTCAAAGTTAAAAGTTTTATGAGCTCAGAACTGTGGTTGAACTGTCAAAAGAACCAGCACCGAGTGCTCTACGTTTATTTTTCCCACAACCTCATTTTTAGTTAGATCCCAGCTGTTTGGCTCTTTGGAGACCTTATGACATGGAAAAGGAAGCGTAGATCTTCCTCTGGGAACATGGAGATGGAGTCTGTCATTTCCAGCTGTTATCTAATGCTATTCTATGTAGATAGACATTTTCCACATCTGTTACATTTCTCATTAGGTCTCCCAGTTACATGGTCTGATGCACCACCATCGCACCCTCCAATTCCCAAAACACAATAAGATGACTTAGTCCATCGCACTTCCATGTTATCACAGCTTATCAAAACGTCCACTGTTCTGCTTTCACTCTCTGTGGTGATAATGGACTGTATTGGAGTCGGGTCAAAGCAGAGGTACTGCTGTAGCCAGTATTTGGATAGCGCTTGTCAGGCCAGGGGCAGTAACTATGGGGGCTTGTGCTAGATTTTCCACCATCCGCTTAAGCAAACACGAGGAACAGATGAAAACTTTCATACTGAACCGTTGGGGGAAAGAGTGATAAAATCCTTCTTCAGTATCAGTGGTGTAGTCTGAAGGCTGGAATGCAATACATTACTTTTGAAATGCCTACAATATAGGCATCATATACTTGCCTATTTTGTGGTTACAGAGAAAAACTCACACACTAAACAACTGAGGATCACTCAGTCTTTCCGCACTCATAGATTGTCCATACGTCTAAATAGGCTATATTTCAAGGTGGGTCAGTCCATCTCAAGAGGTCCAAAAATTGTAAACTTGTTTGAGTTGTGGAGCGTCTCAGACATGCCTGAACAGGACCAGTGATTGTTATTGTGGCGATGAGCTCATGGAGAAACCAAAAAACCGAAACCTGGAAGATGGCACTGTCCCATATTGCCAAATTATGAGTTCATTTCAATCATTGCCTAACCCTAAACCTTATGTCATTCCAAACCATATGACTTTCTATCATATGTGGAACACAAAAGTAGATATGTTCACGCTGCTGTGTTCATACAAAAGTATATAGCATCCAGGGATTTTTTTTAACTCAAAAAAATAAAAAAACTATTAAAAAGTCACATCACAAAAGATAGTCCATACCTATAAATATAATACTATTGGTTGATTTTTCATTTTCGAACTTTTGAACATTCTTGTTATTTAGACATAAAAAAATAAGGTTGAGCAACTTCCATTGGACCTCTTGAAATGGATTGACCCTGGTGCTTTTTTGTAATTTTGGGTGGTTGTCCACCCTTTGCCACTGTATACTTTGGTTGTATGGAAAAGAGCAGCGTGAACATTCTGTAAAATGTCTTCTTTTGTTTTCCACAAAAGCAAGAAACTCTGTTTTTGAAACAAAATGATAGAGTTTTTACTTTTGAATGCAGTGTTTTAAGCAGCACTGTAATTAAGTGCAACATCAGCAATAGTGGTTCTTTGATGTCGTCATCATCCATTGTCTCAGGAATTCAGACTTAACTGTACTTGGATGCAATGGAGGAAGTTCCCCTCAAACTGTGAAGAGAATAGGGCAGTGGGAGTGTGAGTCATGCCTGTTCTGGGAAATGAGAGAATCAGTTTAGGACTGAAATGAATCCCACGATGTATTGTGACATGTGGACAAAGGGACTGGAGTGGGATGTGTGGAGGGGTGAATAGAGGGGTGTTTTTTTTTAGCTGTGACGAAGTGTCTTGGTTCAAAACATTACATGATGCATGGGCACCAAAGTATCCGTTAAGGGAAAAAATTGTTAAATTTGTGTTTTAATAAATTTGAATCTTTTTATATGATTCTTAATTTTCTTTCTTTTTGAATTGCTGGCCTTGCTTACATACATGTAATATTTGTTCACCTGTCTGTAGTGGTACTTATCATACGGTGTTACGAATTACATTACGTATGTTTACATTCAGATACTGGATTAGGATTGAAATTCATACACATAATTAAAAACAAACCCAATCCAAGGTACAATGCAGGT